CTCTGTGCGAAAGGGCTGTTTAGACGAGCAGAAAAAATAGGCTCCGGGCTGCTATAAATACTCCTCCCCCTCCTCCTTCTACCGAGCTAAAAACAACTTAGCACGATAGAGCCAGACCCGAGGCTACTCCTCTTTCCTCGGGTGCTACATTCAGATCTGGATCTAGATTTGCCCCCCTGATCACCATGGAAGAATCATTATGATGACCCGAGGACTTCTACACAGGAAGCAGAAATCTGCTGGTTTCTATATATTTCAGGTATTATGATAATCCAGGAACCATGGATTTTCTCCGGCTTTACCAGCAAAGTTACAAAAACGTATTCAAATTTTAGATGTATTCTTTTTACCTTTTCCTATAATTACCATCTGTAAATAATGGGTCCAGCAAGAGGCTGACATTCATGTATATTTTAATCTTCAAGCGCAGGATTTTAGATCCTGGCCTTCTATTGCTTTGTTGGGTCTGTGTAGGCGCCAACACGTCCGGTAGTTTAATCTAGACTGGACTAACAGCTTCGTGAAGAGCTAACGTGCTGTGAGCGGGCACGAAGTTAAATATTATAAATAAATCAACTTAAAAAACAAACAATTCTTTGCCTTCCCGTTGTGCCGGTGTAATCGATCATTTTGCTCTGCATATCTGGAATAGCCACGGTAAATCGCATCCGGATCAAAGTCAAAAGCAACCACGAGAATATCTATATCCGGTCATTTTTAATCAGTTTCGATCTTGTCATTCTCACATGAATCCTCAACCTCTATCATTTCATACACCATCTCGCCTCAACGATCGGATAAGTAGTTGCTCCAATCACAAACAAGAGCTTGCTTCACTAATTACTAGCCATCTTCCACTACCAAATTACAGCGCTATTTATACCCGCGATGAGGACATCAATTTATAAAATATAGAGCATGGGTATTGGTCCATGGAGGAATGTCGCTCTTATGGGATAAACAACTTGAGGAAAGACAGGCGACTGGGAAGTGGAATGGGAAGAGACAAGATCCCTCTTGGGAATACTATGACCGGCGTTTCTGAGATGTTTTCGACTTTGGAACGTTTGTGGGCGCCAAGACCAAGGATTGGGCAAATTAGCCAAGAGGACAGCTTTTTTCGATGAGTCAACGGCTTTCTTCAGCGCCCTGGATGGCACAAAAGAAGCTAGGCTAAGCTACTATACAGCAATCACGCTCTGTCAAGACATTTCTGATATTTCTGATATTTCAGCACGACCTAGGGAACGAGTTGGAAGGAGGCTAGAAAGACAGAGTGTGAATTTCTCGAGGTACACACAAGTCTGCCGCGTCCAGCTGGCCGGCCTCTTCGAAAGCTTCAGAAGGGACACTATTTCTTCGGATTTAGTCCTAATGTCGGCATTAGAAGAGCTCCGCACCCAGTGGTTTTTGTGAGTTTTCCCGGCTGCCACACGCCTGCAAATGGCCATCGTTTCGTTGGTTGGAGAGGGGAGATAATGAACGGCAAAGGGCTCCTCTAAGTGTATGATCGAATGAGGACTTGTGAGGGATGGTACTGTTTGAGGGGAGCTGCACGGGAGGCATAGGAGGGGATATAATACTGACATAGGTATCCATGGCCTGTAGGCAGAGAGCAACTGCATGTCCTACATATACATAGATTCAGACAGGACAATAAAATGAATTAAAAAAACCCCCCAACTTTCGTCATACCAAGTTTGATTCCTGGATATATATGTAGTCTCTCCTACCTCCAGGGAATATCAGTTTACTGTATTAAATGATTCTCTCTGAAGGCCATATACATCGCTCCTCTCGTCAACTCTACAGCTGTACATCTAAATCTCCGTCTACCTGCTCCTTTGCTCGAATACCACTCTTCATTCCTCTCCAATAGCTCGAAATCCCTTTCTATCATTAACCTCAAAACACATTTGAGGCCGTAGACTGATTTGACGAGTGGCAAGCTCATTGAAATGGGGTCGTACATGTAGACTTGATAAAGCTTTGGCCGGAACAGACCTTGTCTGAAGCGAGTTTTGAATTGATTTGATTTGTGTTCATTATCTTAATTTGGCGCCCTATCGGCCCATGTAGCTGGCTATAAACCTATCTATATATTTACATAGGATGAAACCTCTTGGTGAAAATCCCCCAAGCTTTCTGATTTAATTCTTAAAGTTTGCAATTTATCCTTCAGGAAGCACAATTACATTGTAACGCCGTCGATGTGTACTAATCACGTCTCTTCTATCGACCCTAACCATGTACATGTTCCGTCTCGTTCCCTGACCAGCATTTCGGCTGCATTTATCACGCGGAATTGTTCTATCCAACCATGATTAAGAATCCATCGTGTGATTCTTTTCATATCGCTGGGATTGATGCTCATTGATTCAAAGAAGCGATTTCGGGCTTGTCTCCAGATTTCTCCTCTACCGATTGACCGCTTAGGGCAGGACATGATCATGTGCTTGGGATTTAGTGATTAGTAGCCACACGGACAACTTAGGTGATAAACTCCTGGTACTTTCCTTCTGTGTAAATAAGAATTGAGCCCGATATACTCGCTTCGAATTTGGATTGCTAAGCTACTTTGGGCCCTCGTCAGGTTTTTGTGGAGAGAAAATGGTGACTCTCCGAGGCCTATTTTAGTACGGCCAGAATGGCGGCATTGGTAGAACTTTGCTGCTGCCCAAGTTTTAGGGTCTGCTGAAGCAAATCTTTAAGGCTGTCGAGTTCGCTTTGTGGCGGACCAAGATTTCGCCCATTCCAAGTACGCTGCAATCTTTACCGCTTCTTTTTGTAAGTCCTTGGATTTCTCCTCTCCGCAAATCTCTTTCCAGTATGCAAGGTCTGCTCTTCTATTCTGTGCTCTAATATCTTCCCTTCCTCTTCTGGGAAGCTTTATTTTACTACATGCTGATTGGATAGTCTTTTGGACTGGTAGAGAATTTGAGCGACCTACATACTGAGCCCTTTGTTGCTTCAAGTAGATTTCTATCGGAAGAGTAACAGTTTCATATTCCAGCACCCTGGTGCTAGTCGATTTGTATGCCCCAGTCACTACTTTCAGACAATTTCTTTGAGAGTTTCGAAGGGGTTTGACTATCCTTTCGGGTATACTACCTCCTGGTCCGGCCTCAGCCCAGATTGGCGACCCATACGTAAGGGTCTGAAGCGAGTTATTGATTTGGTTAGGAGTAATGGATCATTGCACCTCGGGCCAACTTGTTTGGTATCGCAATATCGACTGAACTTGGCAATGAAAAAATGATCCATCGCAAGTTTCAATAGAAGCCATGATATTTTTGCTAATGAAACCTGGAGTTCTGTTTGCGAGAAAGTAGCGGTGTCCTCAATTCGTGAAGTATGGTTTGTGTTGTATAAAATAATAAACTATAGACATATATATTTCTTGTGGAGTATAAGGGGTTCTGGCCGAGTGGTTAAGGCGCTGTGTTTAGGTAAATTGCCATCCGCAGTGGGAAACCGCGCAGGTTCGAATCCTGCGGACCTCAAGACGGTGTTTTTCATATGTTATTACTGCATACTCTTGCCCAACACGGCTCTGGGAAGGCAACTGAGAAATTTTGATTTAATTTACCGTGTGTACTAATTCGATTTAATTACATAAAGCCATTCAGGCACTTTATGAGCCCATGCTGGTATATCAAACTATAATATTTTCAAAGAAGGAATGTGCGTAAGCATACGCAGATCTAAAAAGTATACATGTTACAGGCTGTAGCCTTGTATGTGGATCCGTAACTATACGGCTCCAGCTATGAACAAAAGTGCGCCAGTGTCACGGGAGTGAGTGAGTTTTTATTGTCCTAAATAGCCTATAACTATGTGAGGACATGTAGTAGTGTATGTGTGTTTCAATGTACTACTTGAGTCTGTGACTATCTAGCACATTGGGCTCCTCTCTGACTCAGGCCACACCTTGTACAGTGCTCCTATCCTCTCATATTACTTGTAAGATCATTGATGTATTGCCCTTGATGAATAGCAATTCAGCTCAGTGTTCACCCGTGGAATTCGGCCACCTTTTCCACGGAACCTTCTACCCAAAGTAAAAATAAAAGAATGGTAGCAATGGAATCCGCGTGCGCGGTATAAAGTCTTCAAAAACCTGCAGCCCTAGCTTTATCTCCCCTCTTTGTAAGATCAGAGGCCATCCTCATCCAATCCGCCATCTCCGTATCGGGTGCTGGGTACGCTCCGGAAACTCATCGGATGGCTTTTCCTCCATAATCAAGAGTGGGTGATGAGTAGGTCTCCGACCCTACCATCTGATCTGATCGTGGTTAGCTTCATGATAATGGTGATAGGGGAATGTGTTGAGAGATGAAAACGATACAGACCGCGAGAGCGATTGGGAATTCTCGTCGAAGTGAGGACTTTGATACTCAATCTCGGCTCTGAAGACTCTACGGTGAGAGCTGGAGGTTCGTAAGTGACACCACTGATAGGTGTTGAGAATAGTCCCCCAAAAATGATCGATTACACCGGCACAACGGGAAGGTGAAAAATTAGTCTTTGCCTGACCCAGGTTTGAAGAAGGAATCACGTACTGGAACTCAGACTTTATCTATCTCATAGTTGCATACAGCTTATTTGATCCAACGATCATCCTTGTTGCCCTCTGAGGTCTTGCATTGAACAAGAAACTAGGGCTGTGATGTGGGTTTTCAGCAATAAAAATTAATCCCGCTTATATAATCAGCCTCCTCTTAACAGTACTCATCGCACGTACATATGCAGGTAGAAACCAGTTAAGATTGAAACGGAGCCGGTTAGAGGTTTCCAAAACCAGTGTTTACAGGCCTGTGCTAAACATTCGATCGGTATTTGGCCTGTCGAATCTATGGTAGTCATAGGAGATAATCTTACAACAATCTTGAATTGGTAATTTCTATTTTTGAAGAATAATAATAGAGAATGTGGATCCACAAATGTCATTTTCCCATTGTCTTTCTTGCGCAGAAAAGTTTCAGTGTAGATCAATCCGCTCACATCTTGCTAGGCATCCTCATGCCTCCATCCAACCTAATGACTACACCATTAAGCATAATATTCTCAATACATTGAACTACCAAGGTTGCAAACTCATGCGGTTTTCCAGGTCTCACTAAATTTCTCAGTCATCGGAAGTTATTCTGGGACGTATAGCGATTTGAAAATACGTACTGGGAAATTCCATAGCCTTCATCAAGCTCTTCCGAACTTTTTCATTCATACCAGCAGTCATGCCAGATTCAAAGAGACTCGGCGCAATGGTTGTAACACGGATTCCCCAACGCGCCAGATCTCTTGTCAACGGCAGTGTCAAACTTGCAATTGCACCCTTAGAAGCCGAATATGCAACTTGGCCAGGCTGTCCATCAAAAGCTGCTGAGGAAGAGACCATGATGACGATGCCCCGCTCGCCATCCTCACCCATCGGAGTCGTTCGCGCCATCTGCGGGACCATCTGTCGAATTAGATCAACCGTACCTCTAACGTTAACGTTCATGATGTGGTCAAATGCCTCGAGAGGTAAGGGGCTGAGATCCTGGTCAATAATTTTGGCAGGATTAAAGACTCCAGCAGCTGCAATGACGCCGCCAATAGCTTTACCAGTTTGTTGCACCCAAGACTCGACTCCTTTAAGAGCAAAATTTATGCTCTCCGAGTCTGTTACGTCGGTCGGAAAGAATTTTGATCTCTCTTGTCCTATATCTATAGCAATATTCGCTCCCATTACCTCGTTCGTATCGAGTATAGCCACATTTCCGCCTTTGCGATAGATCTGTTCAACACACGCACGGCCTAGGCCAGAAGCACTAAGTGTAGGGCATCAATTAATGATACATGAGGTTGCTAATCCTACTTACCCTCCAGATACGACAAAGGTTCTACCTCCTATGATCATGTTGATGGCTGATCGTTTAGTGGGAAGACATCGGTTACCGCAATCAATGGGCGCATGCATTAGTGTGCCATGATAGACCCGGCCGCGATAGGGTGCCATAGCTTTAGATGTTGCCTGAGGCAATTATCGCTACCTGTGCATGCACGTTTCCTCCAACCTGTGACGGCGCAACATGAAATAACCTCATAAGCCTACCCATATTTCTCTAACCCAGAGCGGGTTACCACGATAATGCAGTCAAGGGGAAAGTCTGGAATACCTGAAGAGCCATCCGGGGTGTCGGGGCATCAGGTCTGTTGAAAACGATAGGGTAGCTAGGAAAGGAGACGACTGCTGATTAACCGGCAGGAACTGGGCAGTATGTACGACTACCTCGCAAAAATAATACTGATTGGTCCTTCGGGCAGTGGGAAGTAGGTTATCTTCAGCATAGCCCATTCATACGACAAGGGCGCTGATGGCAACACTAGATCATGTCTCCTACATCGGTTTGTTAAGGACGAATGGCGCGTCTTGAGTTCACAGACAATTGGTGTCGAATTTGCCAGTAAGATTATCAAAGTCGGCAGCGGCTCGAGACGCAAGCGAATAAAGTTTCAGGTGCGTATTCAAGATAGAGTGGGTGGCCGGCTTCGGAAACTGACAGAGATATAGCTTTGGGACACAGCAGGTACCGAACGCTTTCGGTCTATTTCCCGCTCCTACTATCGTGGTGCAGCTGGGGCTTTGCTTGTATACGACATTTCTTCGCATGAAACCTTCAGCGCTCTTCCATCTTTCATAAATGATGCACGCGCGCTTGCATCTCCGAACTTAACTCTACTATTGGTTGGTAATAAACTTGACCTTGCGGACCAAGGGTATTTAGTTGATGTGGCTTCCTCGAGTCCACCTCAAAACATACCCAACAGCTTTAGCTCCAGGGAAACAGGTGGCTATCCACAGGCTACAATTGGAAGCCTGAATTCCAATCTAGGACTTGGAAGCCAGTGGACAGCCACAATGGCGCCCGAAGGAAGAGAAGTCAGTTCAGAAGAAGCGTCCAAATGGGCGAGGCTGCATAATATTACGGCTTCCATGGATGTGTCTGCAATGAGCGGGGAAAACGTAGACGAGGTCTTTCACCGCCTAGCAAGAGTTATTCTCACAAAAATTGAATTAGGTGAAATTGATCCAGACGATCCTACAAGTGGCATTCAATACGGCGACGGGTGTTGGTTTGTCGATGGTGATGGGGTCAGTGTTAAAAGTGGTACGACGATGCAAGAGGGTATGCGAAAGCGTCGTGCAAAGTCAGTTTGGGGAATTGGTGGCATGCGAGATTGGGAAGATGTGTTTACCTTGACTGGGACAAATCGACGACGAGGAAAGGGATGCTGTTGACTATCCACAGCACCTTGCTCGCTAAGACAAATATATTTATCGTGGGTTCTACCTCCTTGTAGTTACAAAAGCTTGGTCTGACCCATTATGTGGATGCAAGGGAGTCGCATGATTGCGAACTTAAAATCAATCTGTGGACGTGCAGAATCCAGGTGTCGTGTCCTTTTAGTAGGATATTAAGAAGAATGATGAGCCTATTGACAATGATCTTCAGTCCTCGAACTTTTAAATTGCATGGCAAATTGATTAAGTTAAAGGGAGAGAATGACAAATTGACGTTTCCAGAACTTGAAATATTATTCATATTCTAGTAGCTGCATACTGATTCGTGCGCTCAATCTAGAAACAAAGCGAATACTTATGACCTGTACCTGCCTACATTCGTTCTCTTTGCAGCTTCAGAATACAGAATATTATAACACCTTGCAAAACTTCAGATATCGAACTATCACAGCTATGTAGCTATAAGCGCTCCTGAATTGGAGATATTATCCTAGCATCTTTTTATCTAAAAACACACCTTTTCATAAACCAAAAAGAAGTGCCAATTTCCGCCTCTTATACTTCTATTAGTCCTCGTCATGGTCTCAATCGGCTTGACCCAGCGCAAGAAGTTCGTACATTAAATTTTCTTCTCGTAAATATGCTACCTTTGAGCCTGCGATCTTCTCTCGGAAACTCTAGTCGAGACATGCCGTTAGAAGTTTTGTGATTGAGAGACGTGGCGCGCGTTCCCACGAGCTTGCCTAGGAGCACCGAGCGTTGTATCAGTACACAGAAACTTGTGCTTAATGGGAATTGCCAGTTCGGTTTCCGCTTGAAATAGCTACCTCACGCGCACTGGACCAATGTATGTGATAAAGCAGTACCCCCAAACGCGCAGATCGCGGCCCCGAGGTCACGATGAGAAGACGCCTCTCACCTTACCAATAATTGATGGAGGTCTTACTGTGCAATATTATAGGGATATAGAATAAAGAAGTGCGAATTGTGATCTTCCCCAGGTAGGGAAACATTGGAACTATATATGTCTGTGAGAGGCTAGTACCGCGTGCGATAGGCACGCGGTAATGACCAAACACCTCTCATCTACCATCATGAGACAATTTGCGCTGCAGTGCGTGAACATCCAAACGTACATGCAACAGCAAGTATGGTCAGCACATTCGAGACATTTGTAGAGAGAGTCGATCGTGTCGGGAGCCCCAGACGAAACAAATAACGAGTGAGCTCTGAACTCGAGAGCCGGAATTTCCACAGTGCGAGACGGAAGAAGAATGATGGGCCAAGTCATTTACACGTTTGTCACTCCACAATACAGTTCGCAGGCCTGGAAGGCGTGGGTGGGATAGAACTATACGAGCAAAGCACAATTAGGTAGCGTTAGAAAAAGATGATAAAATACATCGACATCGATATTGTGTTATACATAAACATGATTCATTGTTTTTCATCTTCCTAACATTCACGGCTATATCAAAGTGATGGGAGAAGCATCATTGACTCGTTACTATGCACTTAGTCAAGATCCTAAACACACTACTAAGACGAGGATAATTTTACTGAGTGATTATCCTCATGATTCTACGTCTGGAAGAATACAATCTTCTTGCTTAGCTCTCGAGGTATATGGGCCTAAGCATGTCATGTATAATAAAAGATATAGAAAATCTATCTCAATTTCGGTCATCATGTTAATTTATGTCACCATTAATACCTCCAAAATATAGTTTTAGCGTTTCCTTGTATGTTGCCTATATCATGATTGAGATTGTGGCATGTTACGTATGTTTCTATTGATGGAGCCTTATTCTAATTCAGTATCAAGTGTAAATTTTAGTTCCCCTCACTAATTATTTCTGCCAACTCCAATAAAAATTTTCCTGTTGTCACACGAGCCTCGCCTTGTGCTTAGCAATATTATAAACAATCAGACAGATAGGTTTCTATCTGTCAGTTCTCAACAGCGCACAATTTGACCTGTCTACATGTAACATATTTACGCCAAAAGATAATTCGGAGGATTAGAATTCAATCGATTCCGCAGTGGAGAAACAAGCCATACTATCGGACCATAATCTTCAGGTCACATGTCATTGGCAATTAAAAACTTTACCGCTGACTGCGAAGAGTGTTGATTACAGTTTAATAGGTTTCTGGTACAGTCTTATCAGGACCTTTTGATGAACTTGGGAAGGATGCTATCTCTTCTACCCCTGATGGAGCTATTTTTTCCTAACATTGCCGATCGAAGCTTTGCTCCTAGTTCTTCATCTTCTTGAAAATTCTTCGGACCTAGGTCTAGGCTTTTCCATGGTCGAGCATGCGGAGGTGCGGCACCATAATCGAGTTTAATTCTTCGAGATGAAGGGAAGTTTCCGAAATTCTCGAACTCTTGTCTATTTAACGATGTCTTAATTGGAGAAAGGTTTGAAGGACCAGAACCTTGAAGACGTCGAATTAGAGGCCGTGAACTTCTAGTATCCAGTAAATTGTTTTCACTAGGCGGTAGATATTTGGTAGCACCATAATCACGGGCATCTGATGATGTCTTGTTTGGAGGAAGGTTTGAAGGACTTGAATTTTGAAGGCGTCGGATTAAAGACCGGGAGCCTGTAGAATCAAGTTCACTTTTTTCACCAGACAATAAATCTTTGACAGCGCCATACTTCGGGCTAGCTGAGGAGGGTATATTTTTAGGGGTATTTCGGGGATCTGGTTTCTTAGGCCGTTTATTACGAGGCAGCGAGACCCTTGAGTCAAGTTTAATACTTCTGCTTGGTGGAAATATTTCATCATTGCCATTTGGATCGTCAGAAAATTCTATAAGAGTTAAGGAACCCTTATACGACTTCTCATTCATCCTTGCAACGAGAGGATCTTCTTGTGATTTTGCTTTGGTAGCTTTGGCCTCTTTGACCTCTCTACGGAAGTTGTGCTGAAGCGTCCTTAATCTCTTAAGATATGTCTCAAATTCATCGTTAATCTTACGCCTATCTCTATCTTTTTCAAGCTCTAGTCGGACTAATAGATGATGCTTTCGCTCCTTAGGGTTAGGGTCATCTGCAAAAAGGGCTTCAGCCCGACTTTCAATCTCACTTCGTAAAAATTTTACTTCAGTATCAAAAGCGTCTCTATTATATTTGACGTCTTCGAATTTCCGCTTTAATTTATCTATTTTTTCGGACAGATTAGTGATCTTCTCTGAGACAACGGCTCCAGCGATCTTTTCTATCGCTTTTATCGAAAATATCTTCTTCTCTGATTTACTTTTATCTTCTTGAGCTTCAAGTAGCTTAGTAGCTTTTGATGGTGGCATAGAACATGAGCTATCTCCATATGACTTCAATGTATCGATTGTTTCGCCTACATCTGATTGCAATTTCCTGGTATCATTCACAATCTGTGATGAGAGCTTTGAATGAATTACATTACTACTTGGGGTATTCTTTTCATGTGGCTGTATACTTTTCTCGCCAGTTTTGCAAAGCTTTTTTTCGTCAGCTAGTATTTGGCGAATATTTCTGAGGTCCTCTTTTGCTCTCTGGCGTATATCCTTCTCAGGGACACCCTTACCCTCATCATCTAGCTCAAATTGAATTTCTTTATTTTTTTCAAACAAGTCGGTTCGCTCCATTCCTCCCAAATCCATGACCCAGCAGACCTGGGTATCATCGGCGACGGGTTTTATGGTTATTGATGCGCCCTCTGGCATAGATCTGAGTATGGTCTGTGGCCAAAAGTTGTAGGCATTAACTATCTCTTCCTTGAAAGACTTTACATATTCTTGCTTAAGTCTTTTCCTCTCTATTATATCTAAATGAGACTTTCTAGAAATATTCTTGGGCTTTTTCAGAGACGTGTGTACGTGTATTTCGACAGGTGAACGTTTCTCCGATCTTGAGAGGAAATGATATGATCTGTACAGTGCCTGTGTAATAAATCCACTATCGTTGTTTGTTTTGAAGTGAACTTCTTTCGACTTTCGCCCCTTGGATTTTTGGGTCTTTGGTAGGTAAACCTTTGTTGTGTTTATTTTTCCTAGATAGAATCGAGGAACATGGGGATATGGCAAGGATCTAGTACCTTTTTCATAAATAGGTAATAGAATAACTCCAGGCTCGAGATAATTTTCGATTGCTTCGGAAAGTGAAAGTTTTTTTATTAGCTTTAGAGGTTTTTTTTCCCATAACTCTATCTCGCGGCTTTCGGGGCTTGGATACTCAAATTGTTTGAATTGCTTAATTCCATGATTTCCTACAGGATGTCTTGTGGTTGAGGCGTGGAGGAGGTGGATAGGTCGGCGATGGTAAAAATTTATTAACAAATTAGTGTATCGACAAATATCGCGTATGAATAACTTCGAGCCCAATAGGATCATATTACAGTGAATTTAAACGAGTTCTTAGATACGAGACCTTATTATCGGGGCCAGAGAAGGTGATGAGGGACCTTTCACATTGAAATAAAATTCGCGTATACGAATCCCCTGTAGGTCTCCATCATACATATTGACTCCAGGTTCAGGTAGTGCCAGTACGCAGCCTGTTGATCGAGTCACGTGAGTACGGCACATGGCTCGTATGCTAGGATAAATGAGGACAAAGTGAAAAACTAAGAAACAAATGTACGGGGGCCACAGAATAATATACAGTTTACAAGAGATTCAGTAATCTGTAGTGACAGTTTATGCTCGATACAATACATTGAATGGTCATATGTGTGATTACTTGATTTGGTTTACCAGATATAGCGCCCTATAGTGTTATGCTCAGCAATGTAGTATGCTAGATCTAATGGCTGGTGCATAAGTAGTTATTATGGCAGAATGGTATTGTGGCGCCTGAAGAAGATCTAGTCTCTATATAGCTGCACTACCAATATTACTGTGTGCGGTATGAGAAATAGGTTGTTGATATAGGACAAATGGCTTAGCCGCTCAGCTCGGAGCAAACTGTGGGGTGCTGCATGCTTTTTTTTAGGTCCTAAACTATACTCAATATCTCCTAGGATTCAAGGACTGGGTGTGGAGGGCAAGACTGAACACCTGTACGCGGTGTCCTCTACGAACCTGGGAGTGAAATATTCTCCCAGAGCCAAGTTCGGTCAAATTTCGCAATATCAAAGAGGTTGGCCCACGAGGCAAAAATCCAAATTACTCCTCCACGTCGTTTTATCGCTCCCAACGAGTTTGACTCCTATCTTCGTCTCATCAAGTCTACAAGTATGACCAAGTACATCCTCATCCCGATGACCACACCACTCTTCGACCTTCTCTGGCCTCAGTTGACCGCCAAATACACGCCCACGCCGATATTTATACCCGACGGAGGAAGCAAAGCGTGGCGCACAAATCTGGGAGACAGTTCTTTGGGATGGACGTGAGAGGGATTAGGACAAGTTTACAAGATGATGCGAAGGACGGATATATCCTCGAAGGGCATGAGATTCCGAATTTTGGCAAGGAGTTTTACGAATTGAGCTTTGTGCGCGCCACGACTTCGCTTGCGAGAGTGCAGCTGACACTATAAAAACAAGTGAACGATGGAAGGTGTTGTGGTCCGCCTCCTGGTGGTGTTCTCCGGTATGGTTTGAGTAGCCTGGGCACCTACTCCACTTGGGAAGGAGACATCTCAGATCATATTTCGCGCGGAGAAAAGTTGAAAGATGATGGAGGCATGTCTGGATAACTCAGGGTTTTTGAGACGTTCCCCTGGGTGGGTATTCACGGATGAGGGTTGACTTGGGGTGAAGAAAAAGCTGCCATAACTTCGCAGTGGTACTTGCAAATGAGATCCGAGGCATGAGTGCTCTTCCTTTACGTTGAATCATCTATTCTGTACTTTTCTTTGATATTGTGTCATAGCTAGATAGCTGCATACGCAATTAAAATCTGATGCAAAAAAAAAAAAAAAAAAAAAAAAAAAAGGACTGGGTGTCCTGCATACTGGTCCCGTGATTATTCTGCAGGCGAACAGGTTAGGGAATAAGGGACGAGCTTCTCCCAACTTTGGCATAACAATTATCATAGTAACTTCACTTTTGCAAATTAGTGAAGATATCTCTCCACAAACTATCTTAGCCGTTCTAGCGCAAATTTACATTCCCAAATCATGTACCAATCATAATAAGAAGAGTACCCGGAGTAGAAAAGCCTAGTTGTCAATGTTGATATCCGGCACTTAACGTCAAGCGCATGGTCTTCGTGCATCTGTAGTTATTAAGGCGAAGATGCCACGTTCCCCAACTAGCTAAAGACAGGTCATTTGAAGCAATGATTAAGAGCCCAGAAGATATGGCTAGAATCGCACAGTGGATGCTGAGCAAAGGATAGATTAAACAGTTTCAACTTGCAGGGTAAGTAGAGATAGCAATTCGTGATAAAATAAAACGATCTCGAGAGGGGAGAGGATGGAATATACACCGGCTGAACAGTGTGAACTGCACTTCCTGAAGGTAAGTTAATAAAAGTCGATAGTAATTAAACAGACAGGTTCAGGGGGTTCTCACCAAATTTGTTTGCTACTTTGCAAATAATGAAGATAACAACAGCAGGCCGGATAGTGTAGCAGTTATCACAATAGCTTTAAAAGCCGGTTATTCGTCAACAAATTTCTCACGTGGCATAGCCTTGTGGCTGCATACACCACCAAAGAACGAAGTGGAGAGGGAAACCGCCTTCGAACTCTGTTGGTGGCGAGATTGTTCCTCACCCCGATCACACCTTTAAATTTGATGCAATAAAATGGTGAAGGTAGTGTTAGAAACTGTCAAGGATTTATAGGAGGAAATATCTCGAAGGACAAGCGTACAATTTCGGATAAGACTTTATTGATAGTCTTAAAGGATATCGATCTCTCTTCTCAGTGTGAATTAATAATATATGTTAGAGCAGTTTGGCAATGCAAATACGAAGTGAGCACATGGGGCTTAATTCGTATTTACACAGAAGAAAAGTACCCGGAGTATTAAGTCCAAGTTGTCCATGCGGCTACCAATCACAGAACCCCAAGCATTTGATTATGTCCTGCCCCCGATGGTCAAATGGTAGAGCTGAGATCTGGAGACGAGCCAAAGATCGATCCTACGAAGCGATGATAAATAATCCTGGAAATATAAAAAGGATAATACAGTGGATCCTAAACCATGGTTGGATAGAGCAATTCCAGATGACAAAAGCGGTCGAAATACTGCTGAGGGAAAGGAAAAGGTCAAATAATGCTTGTGGAGGATAGAGATGATCTGGTTAGTTTACATGGATGGCACTATAGTGTAACTGCGCTTCCTGCAGAAAATTTGTGAGAACTGTAGACAACAAATAGAAAGATGTGGGAGGTTTTCACCATAAAGGTTTCCTACCGGGTAATATTATAGACTTTAGACACCTGCATAGGCCCATAGGGCGCCAAATCAGGATAATGAAATCAAATTCAAATATATGTTAGAATTTAGAATAATTGGGGCTATCAAGTAGGCCATATTGTCGATACACACGTGACTAAAAATACTTAGTTTCACATCGGCAGTTACTTGAATCAATGCGCTCTGCAACCTCAACGATTGAGGGGTCATTATTTCCTTAACAATATATAATATTACTCGGCAGCTAGTAACTGCAGATCCCGAAATTTGGAGAGCGACCAAATTTTACCAAAGTAGAGTGTCACAAGCTGTAGCCTCCAATGAAGAATATGACCCCTGGATGAGATGAGCCAAAGCTGGGACTGAATGGAAGGGAAAAGTTTTAGATCGCGAAAGTGTAAAGGGCTCGGGCGCGTGGTGGCAGGATCTGAGGAGGAATTTGAGCTTCGGCGCGTCAAAAGAGGGTTCTCTGGTTCCCTGGACGGCTGAGCTTGACATGATACAACACATGGGTGAAGTATGAGATGGTCCGGACATTCAGGTGGGACGTGGTAGATTTACACACTAGTAGCTAACCTGATTCAGCCCGGTCCCACCCGTTCTTAAGCTCCAGTAGGAGTGCAACGGTAGTCACTGTACCTAGAACGTTAATGAACAAACCAAACCACCGCCGGCAAAGGCGATTTCTTCACCTTCCAGTGGTGCCGGTATAATCGCTCAATATGCTCTGTATATCTGGGATAGCCAAGAAGAATCGCATCCAAATCGAAGTCGAAAGCAAACACATGCAAATCTCCATTTGACGACTTCTCAATCATGCAGCACTCACTATTATCTTCTGAGTCCTCAACCTCGATCTAACCACGCATCATCTCGCCTCAACGACCGATAAAGGAGTCACCCCAATTGCAAACAGGAGCTTGCCTCATTCATTACCGGCCATCACTCACTACAAACTTACGACGCTACGTAAACCCGCAAGGAGGAAATTAAGTCATAATATACAAAGTTGGGGCCTTGGTTTATGAGGGACTGTTGCTCTAATGGGTCAAACAACTTGAGGAAGGACAGGCTGCTGAGATGTGGAGCGAGAGGGGAAAGAGGTCTCTGGAGACCATGTTGGAACTGACATTTTTGAGGGGTTTTCAACTTTGGATTTTTTTTGGGCGCCAAGACCGAGACTTCGGGTAATTAGCCATGAGGACTTCAATTTTCGATGAGTCAACTCTACTCCACAGCGCCCTGGATGGCACAAAAGAAGCTAGGCTAAGCTACTATACAGCAATCACGCTCTGTCAAGACATTTCTGATATTTCTGATATTTCAGCACGACCTAGGGAACGAGTTGGAAGGAGGCTAGAAAGACAGAGTGTGAATTTCTCGAGGTACACACAAGTCTGCCGCGTCCAGCTGGCCGGCCTCTTCGAAAGCTTCAGAAGGGACACTATTTCTTCGGATTTAGTCCTAATGTCGGCATTAGAAGAGCTCCGCACCCAGTGGTTTTTGTGAGTTTTCCCGGCTGCCACACGCCTGCAAATGGCCATCGTTTCGTTGGTTGGAGAGGGGAGATAATGAACGGCAAAGGGCTCCTCTAAGTGTATGATCGAATGAGGACTTGTGAGGGATGGTACTGTTTGAGGGGAGCTGCACGGGAGGCATAGGAGGGGATATAATACTGACATAGGTATCCATGGCCTGTAGGCAGAGAGCAACTGCATGTCCTACATAGTCATAGACTGATACAGGACAAAGTGAATTAATTAAATGACCTAATAAAAGTTGCCAGTCTTGTTTTACTTTTCCGGCTACTTTTGGATACGCTGAAGCGTTGGCTCTATTCTCGTATCGCGCATTGGTAATACTCGAAGTAGCTATTTAGTTAAGGGCTAATTTCTTCGACCGTGAAAGACAATCTTATCCACCGGACTATATCTTTTTTTGATACCGTATATTTGTTTATGATAGGAATTCGATACTTTCGTGGCCACAGGTGTCAGGACTAATAAGCTCCTACTCCACCATTTACTATGCGATCTGCGGTTTGGCTATCGCACGTGATCGTTATCTTCTACTCATATAGAATGACACGCGTGAAATCAAAGATGTTCAGGCCCTGATTTTTTCGTCCGCACCTCGACGAGATATGGCCGCTCGACCAGCAGACTAGCGGCATTTTATTCTCGTATGTAAATTTCAAGGTTAAAAAATGTTGTTTTGATAGAATGTCGTCTTATCAGCCGAAATTGGCATCTACTTGGTACCTATGGAGGGTCTATAAAACTGCGAGGAGATAAGGTTGACCTGGTAGCGCTGATCGGTCACTTGCCGTTACAGCGCGACACTTTTTTAATAATAATGTAACCCTTTGGTTCCTGAGGAGGCGATTCTTGTTCAGCTGGTCGTCTACGACTAGCTAAAATTACTGTTCCCTTGTGATTCTCGGGGGACTATTCTCAATACCTGTCAGTAGTGTCCCCTATGAACCTCCAGCTCTCACTGTAGAGTCTGCAGAGCTGAGATTGAGTAACAAAGTCTTCAATTCGATGAGGATTTCCAATCGCTTTCGCGGTCTTTATCGTCTTCATCCCTAAGCACATCCCCCCATCACCACTATCATGAAGCTAAACACGATTAGACCAGATGGTAAAGTCGAAGCCCTTCTCATTACCAACCCTTGATCATGGAGGCAAAGCCATCCGATGAGTTTCCGGAGCGTACCCAGCACCTGATATGGAGATGGCGGATTGGATCAAGACGGCCTCGACTGTTACAAAGAAGGAAGATATAGATGAATATGCGCACCTCATGTGGTCCTGGTGTCTAGGCCTCGCCTGGCTGGGCTGCAGGAATTTTGAGACTTTTTCCCGCGCACGTAGCTTCCCTTGCTACCTTTTTTTTTGAGTAGAAGGTTCCGTGGAAAAGGTGGCCGAATTCTACGGGTAAATACTGAGCTGAATTGCTATTCATCACGGGCAATATATCAATAATCTTTTAAGCAACAAAAGATGATTGAGCACTGTACAATGTGTGCTTCGGGATAGAGAGGAGCCCAATCTGCTAGAGTATCATTGACTCAAGTTGTACAAAAGATAAAACTCTCTCACACTCGCCAATTCCCCAGTAAACACTGGTGCACCTTAGTCTATATCAGGACTAGCTCATTTCAGGCATCTCGTGATTTAACTTGAGACCGAGTAATTTTTAAAAGGCTACATTTATATGGTCCAGCCCAGTAACCCCTCAGAATAAATAACACTAATCTTGCAAGCTACGTTCTCTCACGTACTTCAATCGCCCGTCCCTACAAAAAAGCTTCACGAAATGTGGTCTAACTTACTGGGCTGTGCCATTAGCTCCTCATCTCGAAAGAAGATGACGATAGGCTACCTAGAATACACTTGAAGACCAACCTGGACGTCATCCTACAGGGCTATCCAGCCACAACTCGTTATTATGCTGCCAGAATCCTTGCAACACAATTTATTAAGCGCACAATAGCCAAAGATTAAAGTTCATTCCGGAAATAATTCTCCGCCCATTCCAAGACTCTATCAATCTTCATCTCAATTAACTCCGTTTGTTCAGGGAATTCTCGTGTATCTGCCAAGGCCTTGCAAAAACGTATTTGCGAGCCGTAATTTGGATCCTCCTGTAGGTGTTGATGGCATTGTGGGCGTACAGTTGGATGCAAGGGATTGGATGGAAATTCAACCTGGTCAATGAAAGAATGATATATCATCTTACACTGGCATACTTGGTATAGCTTTGACTGGTATTTATCCGTGTTGGGTGAGATGAATCAACACATTTGGATGGCTTGATTCATTGCTTCGTAGATTAATAGCTTAGGTAGAGCAAAATTTGATTGATATTCGGGCGTAAGATTTTAGTTTCAGTCTCACATTCGTAATAGACTCCGTTGACAGTTGCCCAGTTTTCGTCATCTTGTCTATATCGAGTAGACAACGAAGGCTTGGTATTGAATTTAATTAACTTTTAAGTCGTGTTAGTGGATAAATTTTGAAGAAATGAGGGTGGGTTTAAGTCTGATTGGGTTGACTTTGTGGCAGTACAAAAGATAATGAAATGACCGCGGTGATTGATTCATGGTTATCGGTCATGATCACATGTCGATCGAGCGAAAAGAGTTTATCCATCTCGACCAAAGCTAGTCTTAACGTAGGCTAGCTCACGCGTGACATGGGGAGTTCAGGCTCATGAGACACTGTGAAGGCCAACTAGCACCAGGTTGGGCATGAGCACCCAGCCAGCGGGTATCACCTCTCAAAGGTCTTTCCCATATTCGTTTGCTTCAAGGCGCTGGACAAACCGTGGCATCGACATCACAAAATGACCCATATCCATAGCGTGAGTAAGCTGGAGGCTATCATAGCTACACATTAAATTCATTCTAGAACCAAGCGGTTAATTATTCTACCGTCCTAATCTAGTTTGAGAGATTCACTTTCCCCGTGACTCCAGCCGCATGGGCCAAGCAAAATACGGCATGATATTAAAGCTCCGTGTTGAGGTGAAAGTCACGTGGGTCGAGAGGTTCACTTTTTTGGCAAGGGATTTTCCCTAGATCCAAAACTTGCAATGAATAGAGATTGGAGTCCTAGAAGCACGAGAAAATACCCCCAAACAGAGCGAGGATGGGGAAGTAGGCGATGATACAAATCCCCAGCAACGTAATATGATAGATAAGGTTAGAGAGTAAAAACAAATTGTCTCATCAAGGTCTTCTGACCAGTGTTGGTATAGCTGCTTGATAGGCACCATGATGGGGTCATAGATATTCATAGCCTGTAAGCAGAAAAGAGAACCAGATCCTCACACAGACATGAATCCATCCAGATAATAAAAGATCATTCAGCATCATAAACAAGCCATTGCTCCCCAACTTCTCTAGCCCGGATGACATTGGGAGGGAGACGAGCGGACTTTCTAGCTCTTGGCGGAAGATTTAAGTTCCCAGATATCCAGAAGGTTATTAAGCCCTGTAAAGTTAGATGGCTTTTAATTCCCTTGAAAACCGGTGAGACGGCCCGTTGTTTGACAGATACGGTTCCCAGGAACATGCGCAAAGGTAGAAATGCCCGCGAAAGACTTGCCAGACTTCTACTCGTAAGGTTGTGCGCTTTGATCGTTCACAAGAGGGCCGAGGCGCACCATCAACTTTGTCTTGTTTTGTAAGTGCTAGACAATTGGCATCCGCCACGCTCGCTTGGTAGTTGTACACTACCAACTCCTGTTGATCCACTTGTTTTTCTCGAGCGTTGCCCATCCGTCCAGTGCAAGTGACGGGGGAGAAGGGCGGAAGAACAAGCCGATAAAGCTTACCATGGCGCCATCCCGCCTCGCTCTGAAACTGCATCGGATGGTCGTGGATAGGGACAGGGCTGGTACAACTCTTTGGCCGCGTCCTGGCTCTTTCCCCTCCACCATCAGCGACTCCACCCGTTCTCGCCTGCCTGCAGGGCTGGAGAACAATCAATATGTGGGGGCCCTGAGCCGGGCGCAGTCGCTGCTCGTGTCATGGCTGGGCCGGCCGTCCAAATTCCTCATTCTAATCTTCTTTTTATAGACTTGCTGCTCATGAATGGCTTGACTTAAAATTAGAAGCCAAGGTCCCACCCATTTGCCTTTCGCAGCCGTCTCCCCGTCCCCCCGTCCCGAGCCCCTCAGAGTCAGATCATTAACTGCCCGGTACGCATGCGAGAATTATTACTGGCTAAATTACAGTATTTCTGTCGCTATATTACCACTAGCGACACTCTCCGTAGTAACAGTAGAAATTCCCGTTAGCCCAAGTCCGCGTGGCGATTCATGCACGACGTCAACGGCTTCATGCGACGCTCCCGCTGAATAATTTGCAGAGCGACAGACCTTTGTTGGGAACAGGCGCTCATTCGAATTCTGTCATCTCAGAAAACGGGCCCTAATCGCATTTATGTTTGCAACGCGTGGATCGAGGTGGAGAAAATCGAGTATTCAATGGCTCGGGCGCTCGCTTAAAACTGGGCCATGGAGGGGAAATCTTGGGCTCAGGATTCGAATCGGAATGGGGCGCCTACTCGCTGGCCTATCTAGGCGGCCAGAGCCAAGCTCAGCCATGATATTTTCTATATACAGCTCTCTCGACGATGCTATCGCTACTCAGTAGCGTCTTTTTGACTGCCAGCTAACCCATCGACCCTGTAACCACCTTTCCTGGGCAAAACTCAACTCTACCGGTTTCTCCTCGTACGCTGCACTTTTCGTGGTAATGGACCCTCTTCATCTTTCGTTTTCATCGTTTCGAATGCAGAAAAAGCTCTTGCACTGGTTTGAAACCGGCTCAGCCCTGAAATAAGCTGGAGAATCAGGAGAAGACTTGTTGCGTAGCAGAAATGAGAACGACCGAATAATGTCATGCGAACAAATCGTTATTCTCTTCCGGCATCAATTTATTTCACTTCATACCATGAGAACAAGGATGACCAGGGTCACAGATTAGCAATTATCCCCCGGCAGAAATCATACAACCTTGCCTCACGACAAATTTGAATTCCATGGGTTTGTCAAATGGATTCTTATACTCTAGGCTAAAATAATTGGAGGCATTTCCCGCAGATCAACTTCAGATTACCAACTATCTTCAGTCTCTTTCATAAAACCAACAGTCTCTCCTTTTCTCCCTTCGATTCTACAATCCACTCAGTAAATAGGGATATATCTACAGTTTGCCATCAAAAGCTACATTCCCTTCCTGGTAAGACCAAGTACACTTCGCTATTATAGTTGTTGTTGATGTCTATATTTTTACTCTATTGATTGCTTCAATAAACTATAGGGGGAAGATCTTCCCTCCGACTATCAAGGAAATCAGTCCTTGAGGCATTCATTTACCATAGCTTCGTCACGGTCTAAGACATAGACCAACACCTATCACTTCAAAATGGCTTCTAATGTGCCAGAACCAAAAGCATCAAGTGGAGGATTCAAGGATCGTATCCATCACGAGCTGAAAACAGATCCAATTTTGATTCAGGCCAGATCCTTAGCTACCAGCTGCACCAAATCTTTGCCTTCAGCAACTACTGAATATCTACTCGATAAAGTCCCAGTTGTAAGATGGCTACCCAGATACTCAACAAAGTGGTTCGTGAATGACTTACTTGCGGGTACCACGATTGGCTTGCTCCTTATTCCTCAGAGTCTAGCATATGCTAGGATTGCTAATATACCTGGAGAGTATGGTCTAATGTCAAGCTGGATACCACCTTTAGTCTATGCTCTAACTGGAACTTCTAAAGGCATGATCAACTATTTATGGCTTGGGGCTTTTCGTACTAACCGGCCAAATAGATCTTTGTCCCGGACCAACTTCTATTATTGGTGTTTTAGTAGCAGAGGTTATCCAAGATTTTAAAAACGAAGGATTTTCTCCCGAACGCATATCTGGGGTCTTGACTTTTCTTACCGGAATCATTGCCTTATCAGTTGGAATCCTAAGGCTTGGATTCATTCTAGACTTTATCTCCCTACCTGTCCTCAGGTGGGTTAATTACTTTTTACATGAATATAATAATGCATTGATTCAAATGTACTAATTGGTACACAGTGGCTTTGTCTCCGCTGCAGGATTTCTTACGATATTATCACAGATACCCGCACTTTTTGGCAATTCTGCTGGTGCGAAAACCAGTGAGAAAGTTCGAGATATGTTTGTAAAACTACCCATGGCAAAACCCTACGACACTCTAGTTGGCTTTAGCTGCATCTTAATCCTGGTTCTTATTGAGCAAGCCGGCAAGCGCTGGGGTAAGAAAAACAAAGTTATATGGATACTTTCTACCTGTCGAAACGCAATCGTCATTGTATTATTTACTCTTATCAGCTTTGGTATCAATAAAGACTTGGAGACCCCCAAGTTTGAACTCTCCAAGATTTCTGCTGCTAAAATTGAGACTCCACGTCTTCCTCCAACCAGTCTGTTTCGAAGGTTATTCTTTCGATCTATTACTATCTTTGTCGCCACCGCGCTAGAGCACCTGGCTATCGGTAAAACCTATGGCCGCCGACATGGGTACAAGGTTGATGAGAGTCAGGAACTCGTCTTCCTTGGCATATCGAACCTTCTAAATGGATTTTTCCCTACCATGGCTGGAGGTGGGTCAATTTCTCGAAGTGCGGTAAGCGCAGATTCTGGTGTTAAAACTCCGCTTAGTGGTATCTTCACGTCAGGATTTGTATTGCTCAGTCTTTATTTTCTCACAGGAGCACTTTATTGGATACCGAAGGCTACGCTCTCTGCAGTTATCATCACTGCAGTGTATTCACTTCTTGTTGGACCTTCGACATTCTACAGTTATTGGCGTGTTTCTCTTCCAGACTTTATCGCCAGTATGATTGCCTTTTGGGTTACACTATTCGTATCCATTGAGATGGGTGTTGCGCTCGCTGTTGCTTTCAGTGTCTTACATACCCTCCTCCGTCTAGCTTTCTCCCAAGTAACCACAGTTAAAGTTCAAGAATTATCAAATATGTACCCGACCTCATCAGGGTTGTCACCAGCTCTCACTAGTGCCATGTCGGAAAATACGCTCATATTTGCCTTTAAACAACCAATTTTCTTTCTAAATGCAGAGCGTATCAAAGCCGCCCTGCTCAACTCAATTAATCAGCAGAGATCCTGCATTCCAAGTGATCATAGTAGATCAACATCAGAGCATTCCATAACCAGGAGAGAACGCCTTTGGTGCGAGTCGAAAAACTCGAGCTCTGAAACCCTTACACAGGAGCGCACTAGTGCCTCTCTATCTGACGTCCCCTCATCACCCCTGATTATTATTCTCGACTTCACTCACGTTTTCTCCATTGATACGACCGGTATTCAAGCGCTCTTAGATGTTCAGCGCGAAATCCACGCCCAGGCCGGTCCTGGGATTCAATGGCGTCTTGTTAGTGTACAGCAGCACGTGCGGTTACGCCTCGAAAGATCTGGATGTAATTTACAGGATGTAGGTGTAGAAGACTGGGATATGTCTATTTTAGAAGAGACAGAAAATGGTGCGCCAATAGCGGTATTTGAAAATATGCATAGAGCAGTGCTAGGCTTGAGGAATAAGTAGATGAGGTTTATGCCGAAACGATAGTTGTAGCAAGTTTTGACGTATTAAGGAAATAGGTGATACCCTTTGCTTTGGTGTTTGAAGGCGTTAGTAAGCTTTGTGTTGTCAAAAAATAATTATAATGTTAGAATTTATAATAGTTGGGGCTATCAAGTAGACACGTTGTTGATACACGCGTGACTGCAAATTCTGTACTTGGTTTCACATCGGCAGTTACTTGAATCAATGCGCTCTGCAACCTCAATGACTGAGGGGTCATTATTTCCTTGATAACCACATCTCAATCATTCAATTATCTACCGAGTACACGCTGCTTGCGGTAGGTGCCTAAGTCCAGCATCGAATGAATGCTTTAATTTTTTCTCCGTATTCATTGGTGAACTAATCAACATTTGATGTCATTGCTGGCTAGGTTCATTAAAGATTTTTTTTGGTAAAACTTTGGGAAAGACAGCGGGACGGACTACTAAGGAATTGTTCCTAGAATGTGATTCTCAGTTGGCCGCTAAATACTTGCGCTTCTAGAATGGATCGCCATACTAGTGATAGACAGCGTGCCAGTCTTACTCTCTTCTCACACTTTGCGTATTTGTCTCGAATCGTTTCACTGGGACGACTTCGAGCTTTTCGGTAGTGACGGCATAGTTTGTGTGTAGGGCGCGAAACGCGAATTAGCAAACAAAAACTGAAGATAACGAATCACGTTCCAGGGCCGGTAGCCGTGGCGCGAAAATGACGAAGCAGGACTTTGATACTTAGCATGCAATATATCAACAAGAAGTAAACAATGAATGATTCACATATTTAACTGGCTAATAGTGCTTCCCCGTCGGACAGATAATCTGTGTGCAGTTTCAAGATAAAGAGCATAGTTCACTCGCTCTTTTCAGGGTGCCGGTGGTCTAACTTATTGTAACACTGAAGCTGAAGACTATCCAGCATGTTGAGCTCTCCCCTGACGCGGGCCACACCTTGTCAAGTGCCTCCTTCCTCTTTTGTTACGAAAAAAATATGTCTGATCAGGGTCGCGGGAGAATAAAGTAGAATTTATGTCCCTGCTGAGTCTATGACTATGAGTGTCGCCGGATCAATGGGTGTTGGTGTACTGTAGAGCAAGTCCAGAATAATTTTAGTTAATTTGCTAGGTCAAGTAGTGGAAGGTCTTCTACATCTTGCTACTTACATAAGGGACTTGAATTAACAAGGCCAATCGTAACAGTCTCCGTTGCTTAGCAACCGTTCCCAATCTACACCCTTGGTAGTCTCTATACCTGACTAGACCCTACATTCCATCTCTACCGTATAGGCGCAGACAGTACACACACAAGGGAGTATTCCAAATCGATGAAAAATTCACCTACCCATCCCCTCAACCCTTCAATTCATAGTTTCACAAGCTAATTTCATCATTATCATAGTTGCAAGACCCTGAGTCTCCGAAATGGCGACGGGTCCTACGAAAATCACTCGCCCCGCGCGCCAGCACAAAGCCATGGCGAAAATTAAAATCAGGTTGCAACACCGCCTAGATGCAAGAAATCTATCGATCGATACAATAGATCAAGACAAGATGGAATCAGAGATGACCGAAAGATTGAGAGTCTTCCAGGAAGACTCAGACTCAACAAACCCAGACGTGGAAATGGGCAATATGGTCATCGACCAATACATAATCGAGGGTCTCGACAAATCCTGATGGAATGTCGCTCAGAAAAATGATGATGTGGTCTCTGTGACCTCCGTCATTTCAACATCAAAGAAGATTGCTGCTCCTGCTGTCAAGAAGGCAGCAATTCCAGAGGTGAATAAGGCTAATCAAGCCACACCTGCTCAGATCGCCAGCAAGCCCTCATCAGTGGCGACTGAAAAACAACAATTTTCCTGCAGCGAAAGCAGGAAACAAAAAATCAACGGCTGCCCCCCGGAACTACAAGCCATGATTGAAGCTGAAGAGCGCAGGGCAGCTCAAACAGCAAAAAATATAATGATCTGCACTGCTGCGATCAATGCTGTCGAGACCGCGGTCTCCCTATACTCAGAAGAGTCGAGCAATCCGTTCATCGACTCGATGAAAATATATCTTCGAGCAGCCATTGCTCAATTCATGAAGTCGGGACCCAGTGCGGCCCCCCCAATCCTTCCACAGCGCCCAAGCTGCCAGGAAAACATGAGTTGTCCTATAACCAAGGCCAAAGAAAGAACTCCGATGAACAGTCAGGAGCTACAACGCCAAGTCACCCAGGCCAAATCGACCTGGGCAACAGTCGCCCGGGGCTCTCCCCAAAAGTCAATCGCTCCAGCGAAGACTGTTCGAGTCGCCCCAAACCCAGCAGTACAGGTCAAGAAACAAGCTAGACCTGTGACTGCAAAGCCAAAAGATGTTCGTCTGTTTCTTCGCCTCGGAGAGGAGCATGCATGGCGCGCTCTTTCGCCAGCTGGCGTGAGAGATGCCGTGACTAAATTGGTGGAGGTTCCATCCTCCAATATTGAACATGTGTATCGTGTTCCCACCGGCTTCGCTATGAAAGCCAAAAGTGAAGAAGCACGCCAGCTCCTCTTAAACGCTGCAGAATCATTCGGCAGGGTTGAGGCTAAGTTGGAGACAGCCTCGGATCTGCCTGCCCTTCGAATCGCAACGGTTCCAGTGGCCCTATACACACTTATGGGCAAGGTTACAGTCACTGAGGAGATGGTGGCAGAAGAAATAACTCGAACCACCAAGGCGGTTCCTGTACGTGTCCGTCCACTCGGAAAGGGGCGAGTAGGAGCTCCTTACCAAACTTGGATAGCTCACTTCGGGAGAGCGTCTGCCCCTCGGCCGGGCTTCCGACTTTTTGACGACTCTGGAATCGCAGTTCGTCACCAGCCTAAACAGGCAATAAGCCAGTGCAAACGATGCCTGCAATTCCACGGCACTCGAGGCTGCTCACGTGCCCCAGCTTGCTGGAACTGCACGTCAACGATGCATTCCTCCGCAGAGTGTAAGGCACATACAAAGTACCGCAACTGTGGGGGCCCCCACCGATCGGACAGTCGTGACTGTCTAGCTCGTCCTACAAAGTCTGGACCAGCATCCAAAGAGAACCTCGAGGCAATCAGGCAGGCGAGTCAACGGGAATTTGCTGCAGTTGTACGAGCAAAATCAGCTGTCAGACGCGCTGAAGCCGCAGTTTCAGCAGCATCTGAAAAGGCAAAAATAGCTCAGACGAGCTTCAAGTCCAGCAACTGCTTCGAAGTGCTGATGACCGATTCATCGCCTTCTGTAACCAAGGTTACAGAGGACGTGAATCGTGAGGAAAGCTTATAAAGGGCGCCCCACGGGCCCCTTTTCGCCTCCCTCCTACCTTAAATTTCATGTCGATAAATGTAGGAAGGGGAGGCCCCACACAGGACATCGCGCTCGCCCGAGCTTTTGAGCTGGGAGTCGATGTATTGCTTGTTCAGGAACCTCTGTGGAAAAAACAGAGCAAGTCAACAAAGACTCATCCGGGATATGATTGTCATATTCCCCATGGTGAGGATCAGTCAAGGCCGAGGGCGGTGACCTACACTCGGAAAAACGACAGTGAAATTAAGGCAACGCAGATCTTTCCCTGTGCCATGCCTACGGCGGACTATTGCTGGGTCGTGGTCAATGGAATCACGTTCCTCAACGTCTACAAAGCGCCCAACGACCCACAGGCTGTTCAGCCTCTAATCAACTGGAATCCACCGCCAAATTCTGTTGCGGCGGGGGATTTCAACGCAGTGTACTGGGCCTGGCAACCGAGCACCACCCGAATCCACGGACAAGGAGAGGAAATCGATAGATGGGCGCAACATCACCATCTATCCTGTCTCATCATTGGGGAGCCCACGCACAAAGCTGGCAACACCTTGGATCTAGTCTGGACTAACATCAATGGCGCGCGAGCATGGGTGGATCGAAGTGAATGCGTAACCAGCGATCATCTCCCTATCCGAGGACAAATTCCGATTCGAGCTGCAAGTATGAAGGCTGGGATCCCCAAGCTCCGAGTGACGAAGAAAAATCTCCCAAAATTTGCTGCCTTCACTGCCAGATGGATCAAGCCGCCTTCAGCCCTAGACACTATCGAAAAAGTTGAAGAATACGCACATGAACTCTGCTTCCAAATTAAAGCCGCTATTAATGCGACAGGAACCCGAGCCAAAGCAAGCAGCGGAAAATCAGCACCTTGGTGGACCCCGGCATGCAGGGTAGCACGCGCTGAATACCAAGCGACCTTAACCTCTCCCCAGCGGGGCGTCTGCGCGAAAAAGCTTCGATCAGTTCTCCGAGCTGCGAAAAAAGAATACCAGAAGCAACAGGTCGAAGCGATGAAGTCGCCGAGCGATGTGTTCAAGCTACTGAGAAAGGCCAGTCCACGACAGGCTAGCATCCCACCACCACTCAATCATAATGGAACCCTCATCTCGGACCCTTTAGAGCGAGCCACAATACTTCGCGATGAGCTTCTTGCCCGACATCAGGCGTCAGACGACTTGCCACCCTGCACAGCGACAAGCAGCAACCGAATCCAGTGGAATGAAGATATCTCCGAGGAAGAAGTTAGACACTGCACAATCGGCTGTGGTAACACAGCTCCTGGAGCAGACGGAATCTCAGTTGAGCTGCTAGCGGCTTGCTGGAACACAATCGGACCGTACGTCGCTCAACTCTTCCGAGCCTGCGTGAGGATCGGCATTCATCCATCCTGCTTCAAGCTGGCTGAGGTCGTTCTTGTCCCGAAACCTAATCGAGACCCAACGACAGTCAAAGGATGGAGGCCCATCGCCCTTCTTTCTTGCCTAGGTAAAGGTCTAGAAATGCTCTTGGCTAAGCGTATGGCGCATCTCGCTGTGATCTTTGATGCAACGGGACAACAGCAATTTGGCGCGCTCCCAAAACGCTCAGCAATCGACCTCGTCTCCTGTGTGGTACACGACATTGAAGAGGCAAGCTCCCAAAAGTGGACGGCTACATTTGTAACCCTGGACGT